CACACAATCGAAAATAGTTATATGTGTATGTTTATTCTTCAATGTCATTAAAAAAAACAAATAAATAAACAGAAATTCTACCTTTTCTCTGTGTGTTGATTGTCCGTCACCGTGCCGGACATTAGATACTATCGAGTCCAAACATTTTTTGCCGGGGTAGTTTATACACAGTGCTTATGTCATTTAAATTAAATTCCAATAACGACACACGTAATACCGTTTACCCTACCTTTTCATCCACGGGTTCGTAGTGTGTGTTTATCCGCGCGAAATGTACAGATACGTTTTTGCGAATGTTTGTTTACGAAAGGTAATGTAATAAGGTCAGACCGGTTCTTTTTATAATGCAGCGTTACACTGGATCTAAAAAGATCGATCGAGAACGATCGTGCATGTGTAAATGTAAACGCGAAACGGTCGATTCAAATAAAGGTACAAGTGTAAAAAGGAAAAAAACTAGACAACTGCATACATAGCTCAATTATGAGACCCTTTTCAACAATATTTATATATCCTTTTCATTTATAAACAATATTTAATTTGTTTAGCATTGATTGAAGAAGTTTTGTTCTTTTTGTAATTTTGGTGAACAAATAATGACTCTTATACCTGTATCTTTCCCTTCAGTTAAATCGACAGCCGTGTGACATAATACCTCTGTCCTACGACTATTATTTGTTTTAATTAACAGCTATTGCTCTTTGTGGCACAAAGCATTTTGAAATTTATCAACCGATTCCCAAATGGCTGACTTCGATCAGTGTTAATTACGTCGAGTATTGACCGCATGTCATCATTACATCGATGATCGGGACAGTAAAACAAACAATCAAATAAAGTGGTTGGAAATTGACAACAATATGTTTTTTTTTTATTAATATGTGTGAGCTGTTATGTCGAGCTGAGATTTATCTTTGTGTGTCCTAACATGAGTTTACTTTTATTTTCAATATATATTTCCCTAAGTAATTGCATTGCCACATAGCATGTCTGTTTTATGGTATAAACGTGTACTATAGTATAAAGTGCGTTTGTCTAAGGTTATGATCATTGTTTTCAAAGAGGTGAAAGTCCTATCTCCGTATGACAAACCATTTGAGTACTGTTTAATAAAAAGATGCTTTAAGATTAATTCGTCTTCAGGGTATACAGCTATAGGCTACAATAAAGACAATAAATTATTATATCACATTAGTCAAAGTGTTCTTTATATTCAAGATAGCTATACAAGGTCTGTGTCAGCTATCCATAGGGATGGAATTAATTTTTTTGAGACCTAAGTAATGATTTGCCGAACTACTAGTTGACCTCAAAATTTCTTGTGTTTTGTGTTGTAAGGTAGTTGTCTCATTTACGTTCACCTAACAAATTCTTTTATTTATTGTAATTTGTTGGCGACTTTCTTGTGTGGGGTTCCCCATTTGTGTATAGTCCACGTGGCTCAACCTCTGAAGTTGCGAGAATGAATTGTAATTGGTAATCTTTTACGTAAAATAAATGAAAAAAGTCAGTGGAAGAAAACTCGATTATAGCTTGAAATTTCTTTTGTGTGCTATAAATACCGGTGCTTCAAGCGCACTTAGGTGTATAGAAACAAGGCTAATATGGTCTTCTTTGGCACGATAAATCCTCTGTTGGGTTAATGTGACCAACAACTATTGTAACGTACCATTTATGATCCTATCAATTACTACAGATACTGTTTTCTAAAGGCAATTGATTTAACTCGAATAATTCAGACCCTCCCCCTAACCGATATCTTCTATACTCGCGAGGTTAATAAAGCCTTTGAGAGCACCAGACTATATCGACTAAGTTATTGGGATAACAGGTCTGAATCTGAATATGCATGATTTATTTACAACCTGAATTAAGCATAGAGTAATCAACCGATAGTGACCAATGGTGGAACCTTTAATTCAGTTGTGGTCTTAACTTATACATTACCCTGATTTATGAAACATTTCTAGTACATTAATTTATACAAACGGAACAAACAAATGAAAAAAAAAACACACAATCAAACGAGAACACTAAGTAAAGCAAAGCAATATTATTACTTTAAAGTGGATGAAAAACCATGATAGTTAAATTAATACTCAAACTATAAACACTTAAATGTGTACAAATAGTGTAAATCAATGGTAAGATCACATCAGATTTAACGCAGAATTAAAGAAAAAATAAAAAGTTGAATGGACAAAAAAGAAGAACTCTGTACAAGTGACCAATATACATGTATAACAGTCACGTGTATGTTGCCTATAGATGTCTTTTTTTTTATTTTTGTCGTTGGGTTACTGTCTCATTGATATATACAATAAAACTGTCTCATTGACGTATACACTACAACTGTCTCATTGAAGTATACACTAAGACTGTCTCATTGACGTATACACTAAAACTGTCTCATTGACGTACACACTAAAACTGTCTCATTGACGTATACACTAAAACTGTCTCATTGGCGTATACACTAAGACTGTCTCATTGACGTATACACTAAAACTGTCTCATTGGCGTATACACTAAATCTTTCATTTACATAGCATGTTATTCCTTTGAAATGCTTTTATGGTACTCGTTTCATTTCCATTCACATTAAAATTATCATGAAAAATACACAGTACCAATTCCTTCGTTTATGTCTAGAAACTGCCTCGGTGAACGATACGTCTTTGATGTATATGAAACATATTGTTCTAACATTTATTAAGAGGAAATCAAAGAAATTTTTACCCTCATCTGTTACAGAAAAATCAAGAGGATATCCGACTGTTTATTGACGAGATAAATCTCAAAATAGTTTTGATCCCATATATTTATTTTAAATGAATCAGTTTTAAGCGCCGTTTTGATATCCAGACGTCAACACCAATTACTCCGACATATACTACCCAGCAATCTGGGACCATTAAACAGTGTCTTACGGCTCTAACAAGAATATTTATAGAACTAGTAAAATAAATGTTTATGTGATGTATGTTTTCTCATGTTATAATTGACCAATGTTAATCATCCACTATTAGTTTGATAAACTATACTAGTATATGTTCTTGTCTTATGTGGGGTAAGGTTTTACACAACCTATAATGTACCTCTATATATTGGGGTGGGATCTTGTAGTATTGTAACAGCTATGATTGCGATTTATATTTATATTTTGACGAACTTTCATTTTTCCATCTTGTCTTTGACTAAAACCATTCTGTAGAAGTCTTTTTAATGTGTCAGTTTGTTCTTGATTGAGCACTATATTGTAATGAGTATAAACAAACCGCAAATGATCTTAATTGGTGCACTTTACAAATTACACACACAAATCACAGACGCACATACATATTTAGAGATAAGTCAAATTCAGTTGCATGAATATGAAGTTTCTTTCCTTGTTTAAGCAATTAAATATGTTACAACAATTTTTTGAACATACGATTCTTTTCAACAATCATTTTATAAAAATAAAAGCACTCTGAAATTACGAAAAAAATCGGATAAAATAAACAATCAAATCAAAATTCCATTTTCTACTTTTTTTAAATTAAGCGACAGCTAAATAATCTCAAGACATTGAAACTTCAAAAATAACAATAATAACAAGCACGATACTGTACATCAGAGAATACAACTGATTTATCTGTGATTCATATAGATTTTATCCTGTAAAAAACATGCAAAATCCTTTACTTTATAGTTAAATTGATTCTGTGATGTTGATCGACATTATTAGTAATATTAACTGGGAACCAAATAAAGTTGAAACAAGGCAAACAAACAAAACTGTAATAACATTTTACTTCCGTGTCATACTTACACTTGCAGTGTTTTATCATTTTTGAATTAAAATGACAATCTATTTTTCCGTCTAAAATTTTGTTAAAGTATACGAAAACAGATGCACACTCACAAAGGTACTAAATTTGCCTGGGGGTATTTGTTACTTTTGTTTTGAAATATCCAAATATATGAATTGAAAGTTTATCATGATTAAATAGATCTGAATAATTTGCTGCTATGATCACGAAACATTCTGGCAATTCATTAGCACATTGTTCAGTCTCTCTCTCTCTCTCTCTCTCTCTCTCTCTCTCTCTCTCTCTCTCTCTCTCTCTCTCTCTCTCTCTCTCTCTCTCTTAATGTAAGAAATGACAGCCTGGAAGCATGATATATTTAAAACAATAAACTGTAGTCATATACAACAGGTCTGATTGCATATACGCGTTTATTTTAGATACTGAACTGTACAGGAGTTGGACGGCATGGATTTGTTCTTTTGCTATCCTGATAAAAACACATCTCCTCAGTCAGATGATCTTACATCATTGTGTATAGATTCACGTTTTAATCACTGCATATCTTCACAAAAGCTCCATGTATGTGTATGCCCAGGGAAGAGATAGATTTTTGACACCAGTTGTTTACTATTAAATGCCAGTTCAGATAAACTTTTAAAATTGTGTTTATGATAAATGATTAAATGCAATATACGAATGTCGGTGCCTATGTAAGACTTACGTGCATTAAATACATGGATGCTAGATTCTCAATTCAAATGTCTAGAATAAATAAATACTACTGACCAAGAAGAATTAATCAATTTTGGTCGATCCCAGGGTTCTGATTTTTAGCAGATACAGTAACAATATATTAGGTGATTCTCCCCATTTTACATTAACGAATTTACTAACAATATATAGCCTAGTTGGTCGAGTGGTCTAGGGCGCTTGGTACAGTGCAGGTGGAGTTGCCACGATGTCACAGAAGCAAGGGTTCCAATCCCGCTGAGGGAAGAACAAAAATTTGCGAACGCAAATTTACAGATCTTACACTGTTGGGCTAAATTTGAGACGAACTATATATATAATTAATATCCTGTTGACACACACACGGCTTTTTGCTGAGAAGGATTCCATATTTGTGCGTGACAAAATTCAAAGAAAGGCGTAAATTTGTAATTTCCATGAACATATTTTCTAAATGTCTTGTTTAAAGTGGAAATAATGGTGCATGTTCGAATATTTGTTATAGAAGTGAGCGTAATCGGGTGTCATTTGGGGTTGTGGTCACACTGAGGTATACACCGCATCTTCTGTAATTCATATACCAAATTACACCCTAATGCCATTACATGTTATTGGATATACTACATTTACCATGATTTACTATCAAATAAGGGCACATTGTTGAAAGATCCTACTCCTAAATTATCGAAAGCTATCATAAAAGCATGGTGTAAATGATATACACCTTATCAATATAACGCAATCAGGGGTGTATCGAATACATGTAATTATTGCAACATTAACAGGAATCCATCATATTACGGATTGAAAGTATAAATTAAATTGTGAAATCTAGTAGATAATGTGATTGTTTTTAATCAGAAACGAACAGCAGGATTTTTTGGTAGGATCATCTCCATTTGTAATCATACCACATCTGCCAATTTTGTATAGCCACTAGTATTTCCAGACTCTTTTTGTAATAAAGTCGCAAATGTGTGACAACGATTTATTGTAAACAAAAATGGCCCAACATCTTAAGTTCCAGTTGACCAATGTTGTCATTTAAGCTAAAACTAGCGTTCATCCTTTAACACTGCTCTACCTTTATAGATAAGAGCAGAATTGTTTTTATTTTGAATACTATTCTATAAATGATGGGTGTGTATAGGTCATCTTTGAGGTGAAATAAAGTTATAACAAATTAAAAGAATGTACAGAACTATGTATAATGTATAGACACAAGATTGAAACTGCTATTTATTATATATTTCATCTTTTTGTTTTAGGCTGGTTTTATCTATAGGGCATACTCTAATCTGTTATGTAGGAAAGGCCAAGATGCTTTAAATGTCGCCAGGTAATGTAGTACATCGTCTTTATGTTACATTGCATCTACTTGTACAATAGCAGATATTTGATGGTTAATGAATGAACAAAAATACTTTATAAATTTCGTACATCCGAAGTGCTTTTCTAGGTTTACTTTCACAAGGAACGCCCAAGACCAAATATTTGAAAACCTGGGATGTATAAACACGTAGAAAAGTTAGGGGCTATATGACCAAGAAGAGACTTAAAAGGAATAGTCAAATTAACCAAAGATTAGCTTTGCCTGAAAGAGTTAGAACCTTTGTTTCTTTATTAATTCTCAGTTTATTAACGGAGGAAATAAAAAGTAGTAATGATGGAAAGTACATGCAAATGCTTTTTAAAGACAGCAAAATGCATTGACTAATTCTGTCTGCATGTGATGTACCTATTCACAGCTATTAATTGCAACATCTGCTATATATGTGTAAGACCTCGATACTTTTTGAAATATTTCACGGTAGTAGTATAGATATTTATATTTATGTTATCATTTTACTATTATGAATAACGAATAACTTATAGCCATGTTGAAAAATAGACTTCAAAATGCCAACAGACAGTTCAAACGTTTACATTAATTACGTTTAGATACAAGTATTTTAAACAGTTTCATTAGTATTTTGTACATCTCTGGGTTCTGGTTATTGTAAATACAGTTACTACTTGTCCCTGATAACCCTGGTGTTTTCCTATTATCGTTTTAAAACACGCACCTCAAAATACGTGTCTGACAAATTGTTTTGAAATTCTTGTTATTTGCATATTAACTTCATTCCTCTAATATACTTCATATTAAAAAATACAAAAACTTACTTTCCCCGTTAATTATTCTAGTTTTCAAAATGATATATTTGAAACACAAAAAGCACGAATCAATCTTTTTTTTTATGTTTCATAGTGTTTGCTCATAAAATATAAGAGTATGAAAATATTTTTATTCTAGAATTTAGTTGCTAACATACTTGAATATTAAATAAGAAATATAAAATATAGATAATTATATTGAACAATTTAAAATGACATCGATTGTAAATGCCATTCCTTCATTTTACTTGCAGACAAGCGTGTGACATAGATGAAGTAACTTTCAGCACTGCATTTATTGATACCGAATTACGACACAACCCTGTCGACGAGGAATCCATCTTAAAACTCGCACAAGCTGCTTCAAATCTTCTTCGTAAGTTTGTAATCATTAAAATTACAGCAAAATTGTTATTCTGTATAGATGAATGGGAAGAAAGCAATACAACACAACAATTCTGTGTTAAAAATCAGGTGTTCTTCACATTACTTTTTTTTGTATTACTCTCTAACAGGTGATCATCACCTTATCAATTCAAAGTGGTCCCGGATATCAAGTTTTGAGGGATAATTCCAGCATATTATCATGATACTTGATATACATAATGGATAACGTGTAGAATATTTCCGTGACAGAACATTTTCTACGATACAATATAGATTTACATCCAAAAAAGAACATTTGACCTTCCAGGAAATACGCTTTTTATCAAAACTATAGGAATTAAGATAAAACCTGAAGAACTTTTATCATACATTTTTAGGGATAATACTAACATTGAAAACTGGACATGAAGTCCTTAAAATAAGTAGCGTCGTATTACTATTTTAATCGTTACAGAAAGTTATTCCGTGTTTTCTGTATTCTTTAATCACGATCCAGCATATAGCCTTATTTTTCTGTGTAGTCCTAATTTCCCGCCCTTTATCCCAGTAGATCCATACCTTGTGGAACTTTCCTATTCTATGTATTGTGAATTTGTTCTCGTCCTAAACATGCATGATATATTTGCCACTGGACGTTATGCAAACAACAATTAATAAATGTCTTTTGGGTAATTTGAGGTCATGAGAATAGTTCAGTTTTTTTTATGAACCAAACATTATGTATAATAGCTTTTTCTCATTATTGCCTATAAAAACGAACCAAATTGAATACTTCTACGTCTTCTATATAATAGTAGTTTGAGACTCAAAGTCAGGTTTGAGGAAATTGGTCTCTAGAAAGGACTATTGAATATTACATTTATGTCAATGAACTTTTCTGTTATGCACTTTGCTAGCTGCAACAATGATCCACGATGTTATTGAAGGTTAAAATCGGAAAGCGTTGTTATTTGAATTGATGAAGGACAAAGTTAATCGTGATGGGACTAGAAATCCTTTATTATTTAGTTTTAAGCAGGTGTGGATGATTCGTTACAAATCACTTTTAAAAAATTCCCACCTACGAACATTCACCCTTTGCATTAAATCTAATAAATGTTGAATTTATAGCTCGTTGTTCAGCCCTCTTTATGTAGTAACCCCCAATTGATTGATATGGAATGCGACTTATTACTTGTATTGTTATAGAAGGGTTTGGCATGAAGAAGTCAAGGGTTAACAATGCATCTATCGTAGTCTGATCATATATCTCTTATGTTAATACTGAGATGCAGATATTACACGTATTACCTTGTGACAAAATTCATTTATTAACGAGGATTACTATTCACTGACAACATGTTTTTGTATGCGGAGGTTAAAGGAAATAAATTTAAATGAAATAGGAGGAATTTTATTTTTATTGATCTTAATTCGAAAAGTAATCGTAATTCCATTATTTTGAAAACTCTTTTGGGTTGCTTTCTTATTGACGTGTACCACACACCTTCCTATATTTACAAATAACTAATACCTAGAATTGTGCGGAGAATTGCATTCTCAGTGCATGTTATATCATGTTGCATGCAAACTTATAATCCCTGAAATTCTTCTGAAAATCAAAATTTCTCTGATTCATTAACCAGCTAAATGATAAAACAAAAAACAAAAACATTTTCCACTGGACGTTAAGTAACTAACAGTTAATAAATCAAACAAAAACATATGGCCTGTTTTAGTTTCAATGATACTGTCTTTTTTAAACACAGAAACAGCCTAGGAAACTAAGAAACAGCTAGATGTACTTTTTTCTGAATGTGTTTTCGGTAAAAATACTAAAAGGTTATAAAAAAATAATTTTAATAAAAAACTCACCATGAGCTTACTGTTAAAAAGTTTTAATTAGGTTAGTGTAACAAAGGTTCTGAATCTGTTTGTTGGTAGACTTTTTGATCAGCAGATAGACGCCATATTGCCATGTGTGTCGACGGTGTTCCATTTGATTTATTGTACCTTTAATGTTCTTACTAAAGTTGTGTGTCTGTTTGGCTATGTTACATGCAGCCACATCCTGTCAGAACGAGGACGTAAAATCAAATTCCTTGTTTAAGGTTAGGGCCACGCTCTCTGCACATAAAATACAATTGCAACAAGTCTCTTAGGACCCTGTTGATGGCATGTTATAAGGCAAACTTTTTGCTCTTTTCAACATATCTTTTTTATAGTCTCTTAGTATTGTACTTCGGACAAAGTACGTCTAGCTGTTTTGTCATTAAATATCAATTATCCTTTGTATATTTAAGGTAGGGAAATGTGTTCGATGCCTTTTCCTTTTCGTCTCATTATTTTGAAATGACAAAATGAAAATATAATTAGTTATTTCCTACAAATTGGCTTGACAAACAGATGGGACATTGTTTTTCAATTGACTGATCAGCATGGAAATTCAAAATAGACATTCACTTTCTTTTATTATATTCCCGAGAGTACTTTTATAAACAAAGAACAGTAGAATTTATGTAAAACGAATGATATGAGTACACTAACTTATCTTTGTTAAGTAATTTTTTTATCTCATTTTATATTGCCCAACAAAAGGTGCGTCTCAAATTTCCAAGTTACAACGAACGCAATATTTTCATCGCTAAAAACTTTACTACAGGGATAAAGATATCTTTAATTGGTAAAAACGTTTACTAAACCATATCACAAATATGGTCTCGATGGGGTTAAAATAATACAGATTAACGGGCCAATACTACAGAAAGTAGAAATAAAAGAATAGAGAAAAATTGGCAAAAAAGAAAAAAAAAAGAAAAAAGAAGAATAGAGAGATATTCCACATTAGTTTCTATTCTTAATTATTTTGGGCCTATTTATGGATGTTCTTTATAACAAACGGTGTTAAATACAACATACAGTACTTTGTTACTCATCACATGATGTCTGAGCAGAAAGAAACCCCTCAATAACTCTTTGAATAAATCGTGGGTGACTTCTCTATCAAGGATAAAGTTGTATGTCGTTAGGGTACCTTTTAAGTCTTTCTTTGGTGTCAAAGCCTATGTTGGACTGCTTACATGTATATAACTAAATATTACGCAGAGAAGTAATTCTATGAATGCCGTCAACTATTTGGTTTTATCCGAAGCTCGATATTCTCTGATCATCATCATTCTGCGATATATATTATGTATATTTCCGTTGAAGTTATGTCTGTTTTTCATGTGTTTAAATTAGCTGTCCAGGAAACGCGTGGTTGGCTTTTTTGCATGTTGTAAGCTGCACTTGTCATGTCTGTTTGATTAAATTGAACTCGTCTCCTGTTGAAGGAAACGATAGAATGTGTTTGTTTTATTCGTCATAATGATGTCTTGTTGATTATTTGTCGATCTGTTGAGGGCACATGCACATGTGGATGTTTGGTGATTGGTTGTATTATATTCGTTCCTTTTGTTGGTGGAAGCTTGTTGATATCTCGATCTTTTGTATTCTAAATATCAGTTGAAGAACCGTGTGCTTGTCTTTTCAAATATTTGTATGTTATGTTCGTATTTTCCGTTGTAGACATGTTGTTTTTCCAATTATAATGTATTCTCTTAATCCCTAAATATACATTAAAACTTGCTTTAAAACAATATAGAAATTTGATTTTTAAAAATGACAGATTTATTGCAGTTTTGATTAAATTTTTTTCAACGATGTCGACAATTAAAATGTAAAGCCTGGTTTAATTGAATCCATGCTGTTTTATTGTTAGTGCGAATGTTTCAAGTGGATGAACATTTTATAGTTCCTACATATTTTAAGACCTAAGCAAGTCATTGAAAATCAAACAAAAATGGTTAAAAGCATTCTAGTTTACCCCTTAATATATTAACGGAATTTATGTTTTAAGCCATTAGTTCGGAGTAACTATTTCAGTCATTTACAGCAAGTTTATTAGACGGTTACCATTTTTAGAAATTTAAAACAAAGTTAGCAGGTGCTTTGTTCTTCGTTTAATGTACAATTGGTGACGACATTAAATCTGCCTGTGTTTGTAAATGAAGATATTGTCTTGAGATTACTTCCTTTTGGCTCTGACATGAAAATTAAGATGTTATCTAAAGACGACTTTATTTTGCTGTTAAATATTTATTATGAACATTTCATCAGTTTGTCTTTATGTGAAGCTTGACTGAGTAAAGAAAATAATTACGTGCAAAATATTATTCCAGTATACAATCAAACTCAAGGGAGTCGCCGGTATGTATTAAGGCTACAGGGTTTACGGAAAAAGTGATTTTTGAAAGGCATTTGTTCATACACATTACGATGAATAAGTTCAATCTGAGGTACATTTCTAACGTTTAGAAACCTATAAACTTAAAGAAATGATTTCTAAAATTGACTATACAGACAAGACCTTCCAGGCTATACCAAGGTCAAAGTCTTTTATAAACAACAACCCTCTATCACCTATTAACGGTGATTGAACCAGTGCCTGGTGATATTTATTGCTGTTTCCGAATGCATCTTAGGAAACACAAAGAATATCATGTTATTCTCCAAGACGTTTAGTACAGAATTTATATGAACGATAAATCTGAATAATCCTTTTGATGTGCTAAATGAACACAGATTGAGGAAAAAAAATCTGGTAAAACTAAAGCTTGTATTAGTTTTCTGTCTTTAATCCAGTGCATTTTTTAATAATTATCGCTAGAGAATAAAGGCTATATATATTTATACAATGACAGTAATGAATTGATTTTAAGTTAAACATTTTTGTTAAAATGTTGAAGATAAAATTAAAACTGGGTGAATAGGATTACAGATGAGCAAAATATATCGTATGTACCCTGAAATTGACACACAACAATACCATGTTTACTAATCCACAGTATTGATGTCAGCATTATGGTGTACGATGCAAATAAACTCATCATAGATACCAAGTTAAATTTCGTACGCCAAACGCACGTTTTGTCTACAAGACTCATCAGTGATGCTCGAATAAAAAAAGTT